ATTAGACAAATTAAAAAAAAGCAAATGAAATCTGCTTTGGGTTCACATTTTTTTGGTAAGTGATGAAATCCTTTCTTACTCAGAGCCATGAAACTTGCTCTTCTAGATTAACTGGAAAGACATTCACTATACTTTTTTGAACACTGTTCCACGATAGCTTTGTCTCTTCAAATTAATCTTTCTAGTGCTAATGTAAAGCATTCGTCTTTGCTTATTCCTCCTAAAGAACTAGTCAGTAACCAAAGATAACTATCCTTTTCTTTTATTTATTTATTTTTTTGACACTAAAGGAACTTCTGGTGCTGGATACAATTTTTCTTATTCTCAGCTTCAAAAGAATACAGTTACCACTATATGCATTCATTCATACATAGTGAAATACTGTGTACTGAAATATGTTCTGTACATCTTTGGCTAATTCTTGCCTTCTGGTTTTTTTTTCACACCACAGAATAACTAAAATATTCAATGTTCTTACATTGTAGTCCAAAGGTGCTTTGAGAGTATTCATTTGAACAATCAGATTGCTGTTGTCAGTTTAGTTACAACGGCTTACACTCTTTAGGGAGTAGTCTTAAAACTATCTTTTTTAGGGTACGGACAAAGCTTCTTTTGTTACTACTATTTTGCTTCTCTCTTCCTTCTTCTTTTTTTTTTTTTTTTTAGATGGAGCCTAGCTATGTTGCCCAGGCTGGAGTGCAGTGTTGCGATCTCAGCTCACCACAACCTCCACCTCCCAGATCCCAGTTCAAGCAATTCTCCTGCCTCAGTCTTCCGAGTAGCTGGGATCACAGGCATATGTCACCATGCCTAGCTAATTTTTGTATTTTTAGTAGAGACTGGGTTTCACCATGTTGGTTAGGCTGGTGTTGAACTCCTGGCCTCATGATCCGCCTGCCTTGGCCTCCCAAAGTGCTAGGATTACAGGCATGAGACACCATACCCAGCCTTTGTTTTCTCTTCTTTGGCATTTTGTTTTGATTCCCATTTCCTTCGATTAGGTGGTTTACATTCTCTAAAGATTATAAAGCTGCATGGCTTAAAATTTTCATGCATAAGGAAAGAAGGGTGTGTGTGTATGTGTCTCTGTGTGTGTGTGTGTGTGTGTGTGTGTGTGTGTGTGTGTGTGCACCTGTATGTATGTATAGACATATCCCATCTCCTACAGAAACTCATATCTAAGTGAACTCATTTTAAATAAATGGATACCTGGAAAGTGTAATGTAAATCAAATCCTCTGAGAAGATGCTCATTACCAAAAAGCATTTTTGCTTTTATTATGCTGAAACTGCTATTATAAAGAAAGGCTTCTTTCTTACAAGAAAACAAAATTATCTGATGATATTACCTTTTACTTATATCTAGATTTTCTTATTTTTGACTTAAAAATCATGCATATAAAATATACATAAATAATACTCATTGAAATCTTTGGGCAAGGAATAACAACTTACCAAAATAAAATGCTTCAGGGATTTCATTTAGGCTGATTATCAACATATAAAAATAATATTGGTCATAGTTTGATTATGCAATTCTTATACTGACATCCCTATTCATTAGCAATCAACACAATGAAGGTCACATGAACCAATCTCTGCTCTGGGGAAGTAAAAATCTTGTTGAGGAATGCATTTCAATAAGAAATAATTCTAGAAGACAGAAATTAATAATATGCTAATTGAATATGGAGAATAAATATAAAAATCACTAGAGAGAATCAGTCAGAGAAGGTGGGATGTTGAGAACATGCTGTAGAGGAAACATTTGGATGAGCAGAGGCTTGAGAAGCTATTCCCAGACATTAAAATTTAGGGGAAAATAAGTGTTGATGGGTAAGGGTTGAGGAGATTAAGATGCTTCTAAATTGTGTAGAGTCTGTAATAAACAAAAGTAGATAATGAAGTAATATTAGTAAGAGTGAGATCAAACAATAAGCAATACTAAAAATATTTGAAGAGACAGTCAATAAGGAGCAAAATATGAAAAAGAATGATGTGCATATTGAAGAAATATTGAAATGGCAGAAAGATCAGATATGGGGCAATGGCATTAATTTAGAAGTAAAGGCAGTCTAGACTATGTAAGCATAGAGGAGATATTAGACCAGTCAGTAGTCATTAACACTGAAAAGCAGAATTCCAGGCTCTGTCATATGCAAGGGTTCTCACATCCTTCCATGACACTCACAAGTGGAACATCCATGTGAAGCCTTTCATCCACATGTCTACTTGAAGAATAGAATGTAATTTGCAAGAAACCCAAGTGTGGCCTGTTTTGTTCACTGCTACATATCCAGTGCCTAAAATAATATCTAGCATAACGTATGAGTGCAATAAATATTTCTTGAATACTTATCACTTCAAAATATAGTTGAAAGTCTACTTTTCTTTTGAAACTTTTCTCAATTATTTCAGGTGACAAAGCACAAAGCCTAGTGGGGAAAACATGGATTTTGGAATCAAGCAGACATGTGTTCAGCTACTGACTACTTCTTAGAAGTGTTTCAACAAAACTTTTCTGATTTTCAGTTTTTTAAATTTGCAAAAGACAATGCTATCCATCTTTCAGTGCTTTTATAAGGTCAGAGATACATAACGGGTACCCAATCTATGGCAACTATTAACTAAGAGCAAGGTATATCACTCAATCATACTTTCTTTATATCTATGCAATGCTGTATATGTCTGAATTATAACATTTATCACTTTATGCAAGAGGGGAACATGTCTGTCTTTTCTCCCTCCATATGTAAACTTATTGCTATTCTACTCACTTCTTTAATGTGCCGAGAAAATTTGTCGCAAAATTCATTACAACTACAATCTCAGTAAAATTTCTTGTTTGATTAGACTTCAGTGCTTTCACTTTGTTTCAGTGTCATGACTTTTACTCTTGTGTATTAAAAGTATTAATGTTCAAGTTTGTCTTCTTTCCTGAAATATGAGCTCTGCAAAGGCAGGAATGCTAGTTTCTATTCACACATTCTTCATGCACAGGAAAGTACGCTGGGCACACAGACATATTCTATCAAAGATGAGATAAAAAAATAAAAATTACGAAATTTTGTGACAAAATGTTCATTAGGGAAATGGATATTATGAAGAACAAAATGCATATTAGAACATGTTATCTCCCAGAGAAATTATTCTTAGAAATAAGGCAATAATTCTTAGAATTACTGAAAAAATTAAATTCAGACAAATTTTAGAAACTCTGTCCTGTCAGGAATTTTGCTAAAGAAACCCAAGATAATCTCAGAGTTTAGGGATTACTGATATTTTTTGCATACCTGTTTTGCAGGCCTTATATTTTTTGCATACCTGTTTTGATATTGAAAATAGTAGCTATTGCATTCTACTTGAGAGTCTCATCCATGTACTTTTTATCAGTTCCTGATTTCAGGAACCAGTATTCACAGGACCATCTTTTGTTTGTCAACAGCACTTACTAAACTTCTACAATGTGCAGAGCAAAGAGGCTGGTGAAAGCAATCACTAGACACGAAGACACTAGTCTCCTCTGAAATCAGCAACCTATTTAGATACACAGGAATCATAAAAAAATAATGCACTAAGAGTCAATTTCACATCATATTCTTAAAGAAGGTTGATGCTTTGGTATTATTATTATGATATCAAGGTATAAAGCCTGCAATGTTTAAATCCTGCCAATATAATAAAAACAAAACCCGTCAGCTTTCATCTAGTGTCTTGCAGAATAAACAAAAGATTGCACTGTGTTCATTCCAACTAGTTCCTGTGGGCTTAGCTACAATGAGTAACAATATGAGTGACATAGAGTAACACAATGAGTAAAAAAAGTAAGCTTTTTCTTTACTCGAATCTAAATTTATTAAACTACTTGAAATTGAATGGTGATATCTAATTAAGTATTACAGGGCATTTATAGAACTGAAAAATCTATTCATGTGCTTTAAGAACATATTGATTTTTTTCCTGGAAAGCATGATGCTTTTATGCATGTTGTATCAAATCCAGATCTTATTTTCCAATAAAGAAAATAGAGTATTTTATCTAGTAAAAATTATATGAAATCTATATTTTTAAATGATAGCTTCTGCTAAACAGGAAATTCTATGTAAGTAGAACAGCATTTGATTATTTTTGTTTATTTATGTCCACCAAAAATGAGAGCACATTATTACATTTTTAAATAAATAATATTGACAAAATGTGGCTCTTTTAATACTCTAATGCCAACATCCAAACTTATTTTCTTCATTAATCTTTAAGACCAGTTTACAAATACTAGGGGAGAAAATTATTTTTTAGCATTATATTATATTCACCTTCCAATATTACATAATTTACTTTTGATATACTATTTATTAGTGTTATTTTCTAAGAACCTGACATTAAAAGCCTTTTTGCAAATGTAAAATTAGTTTCAGCTTGTAATGTTTTAAAAAAAATAATGTTAGACATAACTGCCTAAAACATGAAAACAATAACATGTATATGTAAAGTTAAAATGATAGTCTCATAGAAGAGACTTAACTCAAAGGGCTACCAGTGGACCCCCAAACCAAATGATCAATGCTCCTCCTGTAAAACAATGCTTTAATGATCAAATGAAATGACAGGGATCTCATAAAGATATGTAAACCACAGATACAATAGCTGCGGTATGCCTGCAAGTGGCTAAGTTCCCAAGCAAATCATCCCTATTAGTTCCTATTCATGATTCAAATTATGCTATTTTATCTCTTCATAACATGCTGCAATTTTTTTTTACCCTCACATTTTAGGCATTTTAGCTTCTGCTGACATAAATGCATTCCCAAAATAGAATGTTACAGCAATCTTCTGCTAGACATTTCAGCCCATTTGTGCATTTATTTTTTAAAATGCTTTTTTTGAACTTTCTAACTGTGAGAGGGCTGGGAAGGTAGTGTTAGAATGAATGAGAACTTGTTTTCTAAAGCAACACTAAACACTTGCTCTACTGTTAAAAAAAAAAAAAAATCAGTCTCCTACCTTGAACACAAACATCTCACGGCGAAGAATAGCTAGAGTGTTAAAGTTCCCATCACAGATGTTGGGTTTGGCTCCAGGATAGGAGGGTCTGCCGGTGGGAGGCCGAGGAGGTTTTGGCCTGTCATTTTTCCTTGGGTCAGCCGGAGGAATAGAGCGGTGTGGGGGCACTGTCGGTAGAGGTCTTGTAGGTGGAGGAATCTTGTCAGGTGGACCTTTTGAAAATATGAGGACAGTGCTTGGCTCACTTAAAACTGGAATAGAGCTGGAAAATATGCTACAGAGAACAATCACTTATCAGCAGAGGGCACAGACTAAGCGAACTAAGAGGTCTTTAAGATAGTATATTTTCTGAAAAAACAAAATATCTTACCCAAAAAAGCATTGCTAAGTCTAACTGAAACAGTCCTTATCATGCTAGATTCTGGATCCTGGTAGCTAGGTTTTCTTTGTTAATTTTTACTAATATTTTTTATAGCTTCACCACAGTCATTTTTGGAAAAGCTGCCTTCAGATCTTTTTCGGAAGTAGGTGGTGTATAAATAACAAATAAATGGAAAGGAATACTGGAGCCATGTATGTAAGCTCCAACAAAGTTAATTCTATATTTCTCTAGAAAATGATTCTCTGCAAATATTTCCAAAAGAGAAATGTTAACGAAGCAAAGTTTATTCTATCCTATGTGTCAAAATTGTTTGATACACTTTTATTGATTTTCACCGTTTTCTTCAAATGAAATGTTTTGATAAATTGCTGGAAGAGTGTTTCATTTAAGAAATGAATCTAAAATACCTATTGATTAAAATACCACCAGTAAAATATTAATGTGAAGAAGTATTTCTCAAAAGAGGCTTCTAAATCAAGCCAAAGTTTACATATGTAATTTGGTACAGATGTTAAGCAGCATTCTCAAGAGATTCATGTTTTTAAAAAGAAATATAAAGCTGTTTGCATTTAATATTTAGGTATGGGAAGAATATTCTTTTGCAGACCTTCAGTCTAGACTGCTACTTCATGAGGTCGTGAGAAAGAGACTCTTTCAGTGAAGCACTTAAGAAGAATTTCTGATGATACACACTTAGACATAGGATAGTTCAATTCAACATAAGAGATATTTAGCACTGAGTCAGACATTTCTCTCTTCTTGGTATCCCAGCAAACTAAAGAACAGCACAATAACTGACCTTTTTTTACAAATCGATTTTAACCCTGAGAGAATATTTACCACTGAGTTATTAAAATTGAAAAAACTAATGAATGTAAAACAAATTAGTGAACTTAAACTATGCTGCTTAAAAATGCAAAAGACATCTTCTGGATATTGGATATTAACATACAGATGGCACACATTTGTCTTTGTATTGTAAAAATAAAAGCTTCACTTCATTAATTTAGTAAAGCGTATTTGCTATATGTAAATTATAAATGTCAAGTTATTAGCAACTATGTGTGAAATAAATGCCTTTATAAAGGTCAATGGTTGTATAAGGAAGTTAGGATTGTAGTGAATATGCATAATAGTCTTTCCCTTTTTCTCTTAATTTGCATTCATTGACTGAAATAAATAAAAATGACATTATTATACTAGAAATTTGTTTTGCACTCTGTATTAATAAACTATCACTTGTTAATTTCACTCCCTTGTTTGTTAACTCTTACTCTAGGTCAAAAATCATTACATGACTTTGGGACCAATTTCTTGTACCATCACATAAGGGTATTTTGTGGACCTTCAAAAGTACTTGGTCTAGGAAATACCTAACATCATACCCCCCAAACTATGAGTCAATCTGTCAGTTTGTAGAAAAGTCTCAGAATTTTATATATGAAAGTTTTATATTTTTTCCTGTTTTCATTGGTTACATTCATTTATTATATATTTTTACCTGAATTTTAAAAACTAAAGTTTATTAGAACTTTGCAGTAACTGCAGGTTTCAACCAAGCTCAGTAAGAAAATTTCATCAGTGCTTAATATTGTTCCCATAATCTATACATTAACATACCTGGGACCTTTGCCAATGAAATTCAATTGATAGAATAATTTTGCCAGTAGGCCAGCTATATACTTTTTATTTAGTTATCTATTTTATTCTTAGAGCATCTATCTCAAAGAAGAAAACACAGCAGAAATTCTGGACTTCACTACAGGATTAAGCAAATGGAAACAGTAGTAACCTACCATATATCTTCTGGATGCCCTGCAAATCATCATTAGGTAGTTTGAAGTTGTCCGTTTCCATGTACTGGTAAAATGGAGCCATGATGGCAGTGGGATCATTTGAATGCTCCAAACCCAGAGCATGTCCCAGTTCATGAACTGCTACAAGAAATAAGTCATTTCCTGTGTGAACAAGAAGAAAATAAGTTATTGTAACTAATATGCAAGTACAGAATTGAAAAGGACAATTTGGTGTTAGCAACATTTCACCCAAGAAAAATAGGAGGAACTCTTTCCTTCAACTGTTAGTATGGTTTCATCATTGGCTTTCCTACTGGCAAAAATACAATATCCTTCTCTCAAAAAGGGGTCAGTGAGGAGGTGATGATGAGGAAGTCACAGAATTTAGAATCCAAAAGGGAAGAACAAATAATAAAAGTTGAAGAGCAGCAGTATCAGAAACTGATTCTACTGCTGTCAAAATACTGTGCTAATTATGAAACACATAATGTAAAATATCTTAGTTTTATGCCTCACATTTAATATAATTCTAACAACTTAGTAAAAAATATAGGGCAGATACCCTCCTTACTTTTATACAGATGAGTAAAGTAAGACACGAAGATGACAAGTCTTGTCAGGAACAGCAAAGAGCTGAGAATGTGACTCAAGATATTCTTACTACTAGACTAAAGCTTTAATTTCTTGCTAGCCTAGAATATAGGAATACAATATTGTAAAACAAAATCTATAGGCTGTCAGTCATACTAACTAGAATTCTAGTTCTAGCTTTATAAATACCAATTCTTATCTTTTCATACGTAATCTGAACAAAATATATTTATCTTAGAGCTGTTGTTCATCACTGAAAATTTCTACCTGTGGTAAACTTGCAAAGTGAAATCTACTAGGTAAAAAACTCTGCAGAGATATTTGATGTGATTTTATGCAATCAACCCCCTGCTGATGAATTCTACATTTTGTTCAATCCTGGATCATCACAACATACTCATTATGAGAAACCGAGGTGGTCCTACATCTATATTTTTTAATGCTAAAAATTTAGTTGGACAATGTTATGTATCAATTAGTTGGGACTGTTACGTTTCTAAGGGTTATGTTTCTAAGTGAAAAGTTTAATGTGATTGAACATGAAGGGTAATATTTCACATGAATACCTGCCAGAAATGCAAATATTTAATAATTTCAACAAGAATTCTTTCTATAAAAACTCCTTTCCAACCACTTTTTTAAGGTACTGTGATAATTGCCTTCAGAAGACTATTTTTTTGAACCCAAAGTCAGGTGAATAACCAACATAGTCTGTCACAGAGGAATAGATGAAATCATGAGGCTGACTCTTCATATGATATTAGCATGCCAAAAATGAGTCACTGAAACAATACTTCCAGGGGTCTACCTGAATAAAATTACGAATAGGGCATGGTTATTGAGGGTTGTTTAAAGAACATCATAGTCATAGGAGGAAGAAAAAAAAAAAAACAGAAGGAAGGAGGAAGTTATTCATGAAGAGTTGCATAACTATGTCAATATTTGCAAGTATGTAATTTAGGGAGAAGACTACTAAGGATTGTGTCTTGGGGCACTCACAGGTGAGAAGATGATTGGAAAGAAAAGAAGCTGTAGTCATTTTTAGTTATGAAACAACCCCAATACAAAATGAACACCTTAGTTAAGATACTAATCTGATAACCATGAGGCTTATTGCTACCCTAAATAACACGTTAAGTAGAAGAAGGATAGCTTTGGAGCATGCCCATACCCAGAAAACATGGGTCAACTTTGGCTGGAGCATGGTATCATTGGGCTAAGCGAAAGGACATTTTCACCAACAGCAGACCAAATGGCAAAACAAAGATCTACCAAGCAGACAAAGGAGCAAAAGAAGCTCAGGCAGTCGAACGAAGAGTAGAAAACTCAGGAATTGGCACTGAAGTTAACCATGAACAGCTAGTCACACCTGAACTCAAGTCAGAAGACAGTGCTCACTAAGAAAATAGCTTCAGACACTCCTGGCCTTCTTTTAGCAAAACTGATGCAACTTCTTGATCAGAAAGTCCCAATGTGGACTTACAAGGATTATATCTGATTTTAATCTTCAAAAGGAAAAAAAATTCCAACTTTCATTCCCTCCTGCTTGCATATCACCTTCACTAGAATAAACACATTCTGCTCTGTTCCTAGACACACAGGAAGTCAGTCTTACTCTGATGCAGATAAATATTGCTTTCAGTCAAAACTAAAATTTTGGCTAGAAGCCCTGCTGAATTATAAAGACACTTCAAACCTCTCACAAGAAAATAGTCTCTTGGTCTCAGATATATTTTTTTCCTTTTTTGGCTGCTAAAAAGAGGAATACAAAAAGACAAAAACAACACAGACCTAATGGCAAACAGGTCATAACAGTCAAAGCCATTCTGTTTCATGTATCTGTTCTCTTCAGATCATTCATATTTTTCCTAAGCATCATTTTGAAGGGCGGAGTTATTCCTTGTCTAAGGAATAAAGTAAGGCTTTAAAAGAAAATTAATAGGACCAGGATATGAACTTATGACCTGTTGAGTACTCTACAGCATTTTAAATCAGAAACATTGGCCAAGGGCGCCAAGTAATTACCATTCTTCAGATGATTGGCAATAATGTAATTAAACCTTACTTGCAGCTTCACAATAGTTTAAAAGGGTAAGTTGTTCAATAAAGTACTGCCCTGTGATTTGAATTCCACTAGGAACAAAAGTTGTTGGCACACGATGAGCTTCAGACAATTAAAATGCACTGGACCTCTTTCCTAATGATGAAAAAGTGACTGCTGCTCTAACTTATCATTAATTCACATTATTCAAAATCCTTAATTATTATATGCCTTGATTTTATCACCAAGCAGGCAACAAAGGATAAATCAGCCTCTTGGTTCTTAATACAGAAATAGCACTTGCTTCTTTTGCAAGATTTTGAGTTTTGAGTATGTTGCTTTCAATTGTATCTCTAATCTCCTTTCCTTTGTATATTCCAATACAATATTAGAATACTAAACTGTATATTATGAAGGATAATGCATTATTTGTCATGTCTGTCATAATTATGTCTATATTTTATTCCAAGTTCCTTCATCCCTCCATGCATTTTCACATACTGTTCTTTCTGCTGACATATCCTGAATGTTAAAAAAATGATTGTGTAATATTTTATACATACAAATTGTTCTGAGTAATTCTAACATTTATAATCCTACTAAAATTTTTGGATATCACCAACATCGTTGGATCTCTCTCTGATGTTTCTGTGTTCCCATAACTTTGGTTCCTCCATTCCTTCCAGAGGTCATCACTACCCGGAGTTCTGACTTTCTCATTGCACTGCTTACATTTTTGTTAAATGTATTTTTGTATATTTTGCCTTGCTTATATTTTTATCAACTATGTATGTTTCAATGAATTATAGTTTCTCCTAGTGTTGGAGATTTGCAAAGTTTATCTTTACATGCTGTCTTATAAAACTTGTTGAAACTCAACATTTTTTCCTAATATATGTCCTCTAGCTTGCCTTTGTCAATTGTGCAAATCTTGTTAATATTTTAAAACAAAATTCAAAGTCATCTCCTCGCGAAGGCTTCTCCAAATTCCCAGGTCAGTTCAGTCCCTCTACCTCTGTGTATAATTGGCCTTTCTTATAAAACTTGATTGTAACACAGACCATAATTGCCTTGAAAACTTCTGATGCTCTTAATATTTACTTGTAGTTTAAGAGACTGACAGTGAATTTGAACAGATTTCTGATTTTAAACATATAAATATTTAAAATATTACAGTCCATATCCAGAAATAAAAATCAGAAATCATCATCAAACCTGTGATTTGTAGAGATTTCTCCAGTGCTTAGTGGATGAATAAGATGGAATGAGCCTTCTCAACCTGCAGCTCTATCAGACCATGAGTACAGTTGGTTTCTCTAGTTGAGAAGCTAAAGAGATATATTGGAGCCAGCCTCAGAGATGACAACAGTGATCCTCTCCTCCTGATCTCACACTCACATTGTATGAGGGTTTTATCAGTTTGCTATAGCAAAATATGACAGAAGGGATGGTAATTGACTTCTAAAGTGAGGTCATACGATATATCCATAACTTCCATCTTATCTCTCTTTGTTTCTCTTTCCCCCACCTTTCCCCACACCTGCCCCCTCTACAGCCATGTGAGTTAGCTTGGAAGTGAATTTTCCAACCCCTTCATATGAGTGCAGCCCCAGCCAACGTGGGTATCCCTGAAATAACCCTCCTAGCCAGAACCACTTGGCTAAGCCGCTTCTCGATTTCTAACCTTCAGAGCTAGAAAACTTCAGAACCATGTGAGATAATAAATTGTGGCTTTAATTGGGGTAGTTTTTTAATGCAGCAATACATAAGTGCTATGGGGTATTTTAGCACTCTAACTCCTCTCCATTTGGTTAGGATTAAGAGATGATTCTGAGAAAAACTGAAAAATACAGAAGAAAGGAAGCTACTTTGAAACATGTGAGTGTTTGTATAGCACTTCTGAAATAAACAAGGAATGAAAATATTGTCCATTCCAACCCCCTCTACAATAGCCAAAAGGCTTGGCATAACTTTTAGTCTGAAGGAATGTCTGAGTTTGAAAAGTTCCAGAGGTAGAAATATCATCTGTTTTCTTGTCTCCTATGTTTTTTCAAATCTGAAAAACCTGATACATTGTTGTACCTATGCTATTCCTCTTTGCACTTCACCAAAAAGAGGCCACTCTCTTGGTGATCAGAAAAGCATGGTTCCTGCCAGAGAGCCAGAGAAGTCTGATAGATGGATCTGAAAACATAAAGGAAATACTATTTATTGAGCATCTATTATAAACTATAAATGTCACTGAACTTCTTATTGAAACATCATGACCTAAACTTTATTACTCCTGCTTTACTAGTAAAGCTCTCAGAGGCTATGGAACTTAGTCAGGCAGCCCTTAAAAGGCAGAGTTGGTATTTACATCCTGAAGGCACAGGTCACCTAAAAGGACTTAGATCACAGCTTTGCAATACAGAAGCTGAGAGAAGCTGTTCTTGGGTGAATTATCACACATCTCTTTCTGACACTATTGCTCTTCCATGAAGCCTCCAGTCTTTCAAGTTACTGTCTCTTGCCTTCTCCCTGCCCACCA